CCTTTGCAAATCATCCTAAAGTTAAGTCCGTTTTTCCTACAAAATAGTAGCACTTTCGATAACATCCTTGTTCATTGTTTGTGGGAATTTTCATATTGTAGGTGTTCTTCTTTTATATAGGATGATAACGATAATATTTTTAAAAAATCTCGATTTCTGCTACTTGGTGGCGTTCTATGACTTTCCTATGTTTCCTTGGAAAGCAATTACGACCTTTAAGGGCAGTTTATGAAATAATGGATAGTTTTGCGCTAGTTTTCTCGTCATGACGAACATTTTAAGTATATGGTTTATGGGGTTATGACTTGTAGTTTTCACAAAAGTTCATGTGTACTTTGGGCTTTATATTGATCAACTAGTGGCTTGTAGGGACATAAGTCCCTAAAAAGCTCAAATGTAAAACAAACTATTGTAATATTTAAACAAACTAAGAATAAAATTATCTATGTGTCAGAATCGATACAGTGCTACAATAATACATGTACTCATATTAGTACCCTGGCCAAGTTATTATTTCTAATATTATAGCTCTACTCCTTTTGTAAAGACACAACTGAATTAGTGTAAAGGCTGCCCTAGTTTCGTTTCTGATCAACATAAAATATAAACTACTCTCTGTGTCAGCTTATGTGGTGGGATTCTTCCTAAAGCTGTGGTTGACTTTATACTCTCTTTAAAATTGGCCAATTTAAACGTTCAGTGGGTTCATAGTTTGTTAAGACCATAGTAAAGTATTTATTTGCTAATCCGTTATAATTTTTAAGTTAATAACATAGCGCTGTCTGCTGTTATGACGCAATGTACAGATAGCCGACAGCTAAGCCATATCAGCTATAGTCATGTTAATAGTATATTATTTTTCATTCAATGGAACAATTTAAATTCGGAACAAAATCGTACAAATTACATTTCCGTATATTTACTTTCACCGCTTACACATGATAAAGGTTGTTGACAAACTTATGGGAGAAAGTATGTGTCAGAATGCTGATACCGTTTATTACTTTCTCCCCCTATACCATAGTATATGGAGAAAGTATTGTTTTCGTCAAAATTTTCGAGTTTGAGTTTTAAGTGGATATATTCGTTTTGGGTCCCCCTGGACCCAAAAAAGTGGTTTTCGAAGTGATGTCTGTGTGTGTGTGTGTGTGTGTGTGTGTGTGTCTGTGTGTCTGGATGTGTACAGAGCTAGGGACTACACCTGTGGTCCGATTTCGATGAAATTTGGTATGTATGTCCTAATCCATGGTATCTCCAGGCGTTTTTTTAATTTTTTTGAAATTTTGATTTTTAATGGGGATTTTCCCATAAAAACCCATAAAAAACCAGAAAAATTGGATTTTCTCAAAAATGGCCCGAACGATTTTGATAACAATTTAGTATGTTGTAGCCCTTTAAATTCTGAATAAAATGGTACAAATCCCATTTCTGTAAAAATTACGGTTCAAAAGTTATGGTCAAATATGTTATTTTCCCATAAAACCCCCATAAAATAACAAAAAATAGGATTTTAGAAAAAAATCCTGTTTTGATTTAACATAGTAGGTTATGGTAGTTACAATTTTGATAGTTTTTTAATTTTTTAGAAATTTGTAATTTTTATGGGGATTTTCCCATAAAACCCCATAAAATAACTGAAAAATAGGATTTTCCCAGAAATGGCTCGAACGATTTTGATAAAAATTTTGTAATATATAGTCCTTTATATTCTAAACAAAATGGTACAAATTCCATTTCCGTAAAAAATACGGTTCAAAAGTTATTGTAAATTATGTTATTTTTCCATAAAACCCCCATAAAATAACAGAAAAATCGGATTTTCCCAAAAATGGCCCGAACAATTTTGATAAAAATTTTGTATGTTTTAGTCCTTTAAATTCTGAACAAAATTGTACAAATCCCATTTCCGTATATTTACACCACTTACACATAATAAAGGTTGTTGAACAACTTATGGGAGAAAGTATGTGTCAGAATGCTGATACCGTTTATTTTCCTTGGAGCAACAGACAGTAGATACCTGGTTAAAATCTACTCCAAACAATTTTATTTTTCCGCCCATTGGAATTTGTTATAGTAATTAATGAAAGGAATATATGTATTGCCTGTACAAACCTATTTCAAATTTTATTCCCAGGTTATTCTCTAGAGTAACTGTCAAGGTTATTCCACTCGATACAAAGTATAGATTAAACACTACAATTACGTGTCAAATTAAATGTTATGAAATTTAAAACAAAAGTTTTGAATAAATTTTCAATATATGTTTTGAAATAAAAACAAAACAGAAGTTTTCTAACTAATCTTGCATCGTTGATTGTTTAGTCAATGGGGCTATTTCATGTTAAACATTCCTTCAGCACAACAATAACCTACTAATGTGAAGAAATGTAATTAAAGTAAAATAATTTTGTAAACTTCGTGAACATATGTTTAAAAAAAACCAAAGCTTAAATATTTCAGCCATTCTACTTCCATTTACTTTGATTTTAACCATCTCCCACGATTCTACTAAATTTCATGCGCTTGGCTAATTTACATACAAATACACAAATTTGCAAATTGCACAGTAAAATTAATTTCAACATTCTAAGACATAACGACAAAAGTCTCAATTGTATGTAACGTCATCCCTGGTTGTATATAGTATACAGTACATTGCAGAATTTACTGGCAAACTAGTTAAATCCAAATGTAATATTGCTTACTGGCTTAATGATAAATCACGATCAGCTGTATTGAGGTAAACAAAAATCAACAGACAAATGGCTTCTAATGCTATTCTTATGGAGAACATTTTACGTTATATCATTGACTAAGTCAAAGGTTATGTCTAATTTTGTGTTAAAATTTGGGGAATTTCACTATTTTTCCGGGATCGAGACCTTTAATTTGAACCCTCTCCCGTCGTTCTACGACTACCCAGTCGCCCACAATTTTGACGCAAAGAATCGGCTTTCGTAATTAATATATAGATAGATATTTAATTTCCACAAAATCAGTTAATGTAACCAATGCGTTTCGTTGAATTGAAAAACAAAGAACACAATGAAATTAAACAGCTGATGTAAACAATATTATGTTCTTCGTAAGGATAACATGGGAACTTAATAAAAAGCCACTGTGGCAGAGGCCAAGGGACTGTTTCAAAAATTTTAGGCCAGTTTGCAAATCTACGCAACACGCTCTTTCCAATGAGACGTCAGTGGATAAAATCGGTTTAGAAATGGTGGAGGATTCAACCGACAAACTTCGTGTTCGCGTATTAATTATATAGATTTCATATGTGCATGAAATGTTGGTGTGAAACCAACTTGTATAACTTTAAGCTAAATGGTTTAAGTTACCTGGCTTAGTCAAGTGATCCTTCTTCAGTATTACACTACTATAGTTTCGGACTTGAAAATAAGTCCATCTTCAGAAAACGTCAATAGGTCATCTAACCAAATTGGTTAGATGACCTATTGACATTTTTGTTAACCTGAAGATGGACTTCCAGAGGCTACCTCACCATGTATACCTTTGAAGTAGAGGCTATATTTATTCCCAAAAGGTATCAAACGCCAGCTCCTGATCAAATCTTTTCTATCCCTTTAAAGTTTGTTTCGTGTTTTTAGTCTTCACGTACAGAGACTTAAATCTTTGTATTAAATTGTTAGCAATCATAAATCGTGGACAGAATCTTCCACAAAAGATAAATACAATATAGTTTAACACCCTAGAACTCCTTAAAAAAATATATTTTGTTAAGGCTTCGTCATAATGTTAAAAATACTCAATACCACAACAAATTCATTAATTTTACATATGTAAACGTTGATAGTTGTATGCGTATTGTATTTTAATATATCTTCTGTATACATCTAGTCCTCTATATTTTCTGTGAACACAAATGCTTCTGTATACACTTTTTTGCAACTCACAGTAACTGAGAAATATTCTAAACTGGTGAACTGTTTTTATAAATTTTTGCCATTATTTCTCAACCCGTGCTTAAAAAATTAGTGACTCGTGGATGAATCCAGATACAAAATTTAATCTAAATCGGACCACAGGTTTTGTCTGTAGCTCTGTATCTGGATCATACAAGTGTGTATTATATAACATGATCAAATCACATAGTCAAAATATGTTTTATTCTATAACTTTTAATTTAATTAAACATAAAAGTCATGCTCCCTCCATTTTTAAAGTATTCAGTCCAAAAATGTAATAAATTTACTTGTGCATACATATTTATTTCGTTTTAATAAATAATTGAGGTGATGCAATACACTTATGTAGGCAGTCGCAGCAGTCGAAGCCGGGCATAGCGCCTAGAGTTTCACGAACGCAAACCGCGCAACGAGTAGCTAAATGAGCCGTAGAGTAAGTGAGCCATCTAATATTTTGAAGAGGGTTCACTTACTCTACGGATCATTGTGCCAATGATCTGTAGTGTAAGTGAGCCATCTAATATTTTTCTGCATAATATTTTTTCCTATTCCTATAATTTATATTATTCATTATTTTGGCTCGTATACTATACGAGCCGATTCCTGAATTATCAAATAATTCGTAAGCTTGGCTCATAGTCACTATGATCTGTAGAGTAAGCGAACCTTCCTACTGTATTTTTAAATATAATACACGAGGCTCATAGGCACAATGATTTGTAGAGTAAGTGAACCCTCTTCATTTAATTTTTATTTTCGATAGGCTCGTATAGTATACGAGCCTGTAGTGCAAGTGAACCTTCAATATTATTTAAAAAGCTCGTATAGTCTATGATCTGTAGAGTAAGTGAGCTGTCCCCTCTATATTCTGTGGTAGTAGGAACTAGAAAACACAATAAAAGGATGTAGTAGGTGATTGATAAACTCTGCAACTGCATGCTTACAGCTGCAGCCGACCAACTTTTGCCAAAAGAAGTGAAAAAAGGTTGAGTTGAGTGAGATGAGGTTGAGGTTATGTTAGTGTTTGTTTAATTCTAATTGTTTGTGTGTTTGTGTTTTTTGAAACGTGAAACCGAAACGTGACCACTGTCCACCACACCACCACAACCTGTTCTAATTCTAATAAATTTCTTCCTTAAACGCCTACTAGAAGGTTTTAAAACAAAAATGACAAAAAGTACGAAAAAGCTTACAAGTTTTGATTTAATTCCAACAATTAAAGATTCAGAAGAAATTCCTAACTATTCTGAGGATTCAGATGTAGAAGAAGAGGTGAGTTGTTATTTAATACATTAAGTTATGCATAAGGGGTACACGGCTGCACTTTACTTGACGTCCTACACTCATTCGAATGAAAGTATCGATCGATATATCGATTAATTGATTGCTTCATTTGATCTATCGTTTGGTTAGTTAGGTAAGGTTAACCTAACCTAACTAACCTAATGATATATCGAATGAAACAATCAAATGAAAATATCGAATCGAAAAAACAATCGAATGAGTGTAGGACGTCAAGTAAAGTGCAGCCGGGTACACTTCCGTATCTGTTGGCACAAACAACCGAATGAAAATATCGATCGATAGGCTATATCCGTTGGTTAGTTGGGTAAGGTTAACCTAACCTAACTAACCAAACGATACATCGAATTAACCCTCCGAGTGTTATTTGTCGCTGCAGCGACACATAACACACTTTGTGTAGTGTTTTGTGTCGCTGCAGCGACTCACAAACACTGTTTACGGCGAAGGCTCTATGACTGACAAAATCGGATTGAACTGAATCGAGTTAGGTATCGTTTTATTTTACAGATTCAGAGCTTTCTCCGGAGGTCTGTCTCTAAGCGCTATTCATTTTAGTTCCAAAAATATTGTAGCAGACAGCTGACGTGCGTATTTGTAAACAGCTTGGTTATCCTCGGACCGATGACTGATGTGTTTTATTACGTTTATCATTGTTTTAGTGTTAAAAATCAAAAGTAGTGATATACGTGGTGCATTATAAGAAGATTTAAGTGATTTTGAAGGGCTGGTTGATGATCCTGAAGAAGTAGGTAGTGATATTGATGTAAATTATCAGCCAGATTCCTAGCTATGGTTAGGCTATGCATTCTTAGCTAAACGCTATGTACTGAAATCTGTTTTTTGCCCATAACTTATTTATTTGCAAATCTAGGCCTACTTCCTTATATTATTATATATATTTGTAATCCTCATAAAATTTAGAACAAAGTGGCTATTTTCAAATATTTATAGGCCTATAATTTAACTTAGGCTATACAATTTCATTGAGCGCGAACTTATTTTTTTTTTTTTAATTTTCCAAAATATTTGTTTTTTTTACCTAAAAAATTTTTTTGAAACAAATGTTCCTTATGTTCTATGTAGAATATTGAAGCCCATGATTTTCCAAACAAAATGGTATGTAGAACAGTATAATTAACATTGTTTTCAAGCTTCTCAGAACCGTTTTAATAAAACCTTGCAAATGAGCAAAAAATAGGCAGACATTAAGGCCAAAACAAGGGACACTCGGAGGGTTAAACAATCGAATAATCAATATTACTCATTCGGTTGTTTGTGCCAACAGATATGGAAGTGTACCCAACCAAATTTTTGTTGTACAACACCTTTTCCACATTTAGGCTATTTGAGAAGGTGTCAATTGTATTTGAGAATCATTACTTGTATTAGAAAAAATATCAAATGTAAATGAGACTAGTCAGTTGAATTTGATAAAACGACAACACATAAAACGACGTCCGGCAGTTGACGTCACTGGGTTGTAGGGGCCCGGAACGCCTATTTCTGTTTAAATATCTTCAAACTTTCAAACGATTTAAATTAGCCTACAAATTAAAAACTGATCTTGTTTAGGCGACAATAACTTAATAAGTTATCGAGTAAGAAATTTTTAACTGTTCTTAATAGGCTTAATTAGGCTGTTCTTGAGCCAAACATATCAAACTCGCTGTACCTTTTCAAAATTCCGTTTGATAACATAACATAAAATGCATGTAAAGAATGTAAAATGGAGTTTTAAAATTATTATCAATTATTTAAGATGGGGACGCCACTATGTGCTATTTTAACCCAAATATGAGTGAAGGATGAGTGTAGGATGGCGAGTGTGAGTGGCGCGATCTTGTAGTCTTCTTAGTGACTAAGGCCGACATGTTCCTTAGACACCGCTGTTAATTAATACGCTGTTAATAACCGTCCATACAGCCAATGGCAACTAAGGGACCTACAGTTTATAGTGGAATCCGAACCACATTTTCCCTTGCTCTAATTATGAGAATAGTACTGCGGATAGTCGTAGTACTTACTAGTGCAGACGTTAATCCACACCAGGGAGCATCGCATCCACAGTGCATGCCAATATCCACAATTCTTGACCTCCTAGTAGCTGGATTACTACCCTTAGGCCTATATCGGATCGAAATATAAAATATCGATACCGTTATAGGCCTCTACTGAAAAAACTCATCGATAATAATTAATGTTCCCTTTGATATGACGGGAGTTGCACACCTTTGTTTTTTCCTTCCACCAGGGTGCTGTTCATTATTTTTCATGCCATCCAACCTTTCCACTGCTAGGTTAGTTTTGGTCGGATTAACAAAGGATAAAGTTTTGGGGCTCCTTTGTAGACAACTAATAGTTAACTTAACAAGGCTAACTAGTCCTACTGACTGCAAATTGATAAAACTGTAACTTATGTCTCTTGTAGTTTCAGCCAAGCAGACAGAAAAATAAGAAGAAAAAAGACTTTGACCCAGATTTTCACTTCGCTGGCAGTACATCAGAGTACAACAAAGATGTTTGGAATGATTTAACAAAATATATAAAGAGAAAAGCTAAATCCAAAGTTGATGATAAAATATTAAAAGCAAGGAAAAAATTGAAAAGTGAGGTGGGTATATTTACAACTCAGTCGTAAGTTTTCTTATAACTTTCATATGATCCTTTGTTTGGTTCTTCTTCAAACTCTTTATTAGGCCTGTTCATGTTGGATAAAATAAAAATAAAACTCATTTGATATGTTTTAGGGACACAGTGGCGGAGAAGACTCTGAAAGTGATGTAGAAATAAAGGAGGAACCTCAGAGTAATGACGAACTGTCGCTGTCTGAAGATGAGTTGAAAAGAGGTAGGCCTATGTCCATGCCTAGCTTGAGATAATGTGTATTTAGTTTTAATTGGTTTGCATCAAATATAGTTTGAATAAATCTTCTCATCTGGCTAGTAAAGTTGTTTTTGTTCTTGTAGTTTTGATTGTCATCCTAACTAAAATGTTTGCCATTTTGTAACTCTTAAATACCTTATAATATTGCCTACATTTTTATTGTGACTCATTTTTCATTTTACTTTACAAACAAAACAATACACTCGTGTTATACCAAATAAAATTTGTATCCAAAGTTAGAGAATGAAAAGAACTAAAAACCTTACGCTAATTTACTGCACAAAAGAAATCCTGAAATCAAATCAAACATAAACTTCAAACATAGATGTTAACTTTGTAAGTTACTTGTGTTTTATTTGTTACTAGCAGTTACCCGGTGTGTGTTGCCACAGTCACTTCTTTACCGCAATTATGTCAGATCACATACATAAGAAAGAAAAAATAATTGACAATTCATTCATTTTTTTGTTTAATAGATGATATCAAACTCAAAGAAAAGAAAATAGGTAAGAAGAAGTTAAAAAAGATGAAACTTATGGAAAATGATGACAAAAGTGAAAAACAAGAAGACTTTTTTGAAGACGCTCCTCCCTTTGATTTGAATGCTTCATTTTATCAAATGAACTTATCAAGACCTCTGTTGAAGGTAACAAACAACCAAATTGTGTGATATATTTTTAATATTTTTCACACAAAAGAGTTAACCTATCAGATTTTGAAACAATCATAATCTGCAATCTATATCTATTCTAAGTTTTCTTGTTAATGTCATCTTGGACCCATGCCTTTATAATCCTATTGTCTGTAAACCATCATTGCATGTTGAATAATTTGTAAATTGGCTGCTTGCCGTTGAAATAAATAAATAAACTAGGTATACAATGCAGTCTGCTTGCAATATTGAGCGGAGCTAGCATATTAATCCAACACTTTTCCAAAGTCAATGCACTAGATCTAGTTCACGTAAATGAGATACCTCCTTACACTAATCCAAAGTCAATTATTTTACATCTGCTTCACATAAATGGCATCAAGAAACAAAACAATTTTCAGATTACCAAATCACCGTTTGACCTTATTTGAAAAAAGTCCTTTGTCTTTGTACGCAGGTTTAAAAATGTATAATAAACTACCGGTATATTATAACAAAATGAGTTCAAACAAGTTTCAAGAAACATTGAAAAATGGACTCCTTGAACGTGCGTTTTATAAAATAGAAGAATTTTATAACCATCCCTTAAGTTAATTTTTTGTTTTTAATTTTCTTAACTACTGTATTAACATTATTTGGCTAGGTATCTTTTTCCTGTTACTTTACACTTTGTATTTTTTTAGTCTAGGCTCAATTTTGGCAATGCACCTGTTCTATGTTATCACATCTAAAAGAATGTTATGTGCAAATAAATAATGTCTAATGTCCAAAGTCAATGGTATATTTGGTTCACATTTAATGGAATCTCCGTTTGCAGTATATCTTATGTCAATAGTTCATATAGTTCTCATAAATTAATTGTCTACTTGCAGTATCCAAGGTCAATGGTCTATTTGGTTCATTTAAATGAGATGCCCATTTGCGTTACTGGCACTGGCAGTGAGGTGCCGAGGCGGTGAAACAATAGCGTTAGAGGGGGAAGGGGGTGTGGGTGTCGCAATAGACACGCCCAAGGTCATTTTTGATGCTGTGCGCGCGCGTCCACTCATTTCCCCGCCGGGCGCCGATAGTTAGGCCCGAGAAACTGTAAAACATGTCGTCTCCGAGCTAAATCAATATTTCAAACATCTTTATAAGCGGTTTAGATTTTTGACGCTCTACTGTATAAAACAATGGTTGACAGAGAATAATTATACAGGAGTATACGTGGAGGTAACTAGTGGTAATCAGCAAATGGTGAAGCAGCGTTGTTATATGACACGGGCTGCAACGGAGCTGGGGAAAGACTACCTTGACTGGGCTATGTGAAATTTGACACACTGCGTTAGATCTGTTTACAAACCTCACTTGGTGCTTTAATTCCAGTTTTGACCACATTGATCTTAAAAATAGTAGTTTTTATACATTAATAACACAAACAATAGGATGTTTCGATTATCCACGCATTATTTTGACAAACATATACCTATATGTGTTTGAAAAAAACCAACAAATTAAAGAGATTTTCGAACTAAGAATTCTTTAAAAGAGTTTGATCTACTGTATTTGTTTTAGTCAATAGGTTCAATGAACTTCACAACACCAACACCCATCCAGGCAGCCACTATTCCAGTTGCGTTGTCAGGTCGGGACATCTGCGGTTGTGCAGCGACAGGCACAGGCAAGACTGCGGCATATATGCTGCCCTCTCTGGAGCGACTGCTTTATCGCCCTCGGGACGGAACTGCAGTTACGAGGTAGGTATTTAAATAGTTACGGCATATTTATAATTCCACCGTGTGAACTAAGTGGCACAATCACTCTTAAGTTGCGTTTCCATCACTAAAAGTCATATGTCACGGCAAAAGTGGAGGCACATGTCAAATGTAATTTTTCATGCCATTTCCATTCCAGGCAGATGGGGCACAAGTTCCGCGACTACGACTGGTAGACAATGTCAGTTGCTCTCTTATTGTGATATGATGAGTTTTAGTATTTGATTTAGATTATATTCTGTTCTACAAATCATCATGGATGGCAGCAGCCTCTGGTTCTTTAACTATGGCTGGTTCATACAGTGAATTTAGAAGCACAAAATACAAAAAAGGCCTAGTTGATTGATAAGAAGTTTATTGGTTAAAATACCAACAAAGGGCGCCTTTAACTCACTGATGAGAGGTTAGCACCAACAAAGTGGCTTCTAAAATTTCCTCCGTACAACTTTCCATGGTTTTGAATTGTTGTAGAACTGAATGTACAGGAATTTAGAAAACAGCAATTGTCAAAAACCTATTCCTCCTGAAAAAATGTTATCTACCAGTATGTTTTTTAGCAATGGGCAATAGCTACAGTTCATTGATGTACCTTCTGGCATCAGAAAATCTAAATCAACAATATCAAGATTCATACCTGTTGTGTGCAAGCAAAGCAATTGATGTAGTTTTTAAGTGAGCTCTTGAAATTTAAGCTATTTCTGGATTGTAGCTCTACATTCAGATAAGAATCGATCCAACAAATATCTATACAATTTTGAACAAATCTATGATCTATGTATGACAAGTAGTGGCAATAGTAGTTGTTCAGCAGACCTGCGCATGCGCGAGTCTGATTCCATTCCAACTGGGCACATGTTTTGTCGTGCAGTCGCTTAAAAGTCGCACCAGCTCTTGTGCCAGGCTGTTTCCATACCTACAAACTCGAAGATTTGTGCATGTCTGACACAAATTTGTAGGAATTGAAATCTACCTTTACATTCTGTAAATCCTATTCTCTTTGAGCCTTGTCTCACCTGTAGAACTACACTAAAATAATTTAAAATTAATTTAACTGTCAATATGAATTATTTTTCTTTTCCATGAATCTTTTAGGCACCGTTACATTGTGCCATTATGGTATTATGTTAGTATACCCTGTAATAGGCATTGGCAACGGTAATTACATGCTTCATTGTCTGAGTTTCATGAGTATATTCAAGACCGGATTAAGTGTTAACTCTCTTAACTGAACAGCTATATTAATTACTTCATGAACTATTAAATAATTAATGAATACATCCCTAGCTTCTGTCTGCACAAAATAGTGATGTAGAATTATGTAGGACATGTATGTAAAAATTGTAGTAACTGTTTGAATGTGTACAGATTTGTTTTGTAACCTGTCTTGAATGTTGAAGGGTCCTGGTGCTAGTGCCCACAAGAGAGTTAGGTGTCCAGGTGTATCAAGTTACCAGACAATTGGCTCAGTTTACCAACATAGAAGTGGGACTGGCCGTCGGTGGGCTGGACCTCAAGACACAGGTTAGTACCACATGCTAATTCACTATACTCAGGACTAGGTTTACCTCAAATACTGCAGTACCGGTACTGGTTGCCATCTAAAAAAGACTGTCTCTGTCGGAATAGCTTAAATACCACTGTAACAAAGAGTCAAAAAGGGTTTAAATAGGCCATTTTTACTTATTAGGTAATTTTTGACCTCATATGCATTTTTTGCATTGTTTCTGCCTGAACTCTGTCAAATTTCCCAAACTTTTGCCAAGGCTTATTTAGTCTTAGTGTAAAAAATCCATAGACTACATGGATGCTGAATTATGGCAGAATTTGTTACAGTATGGTGGAGTTTATTACTGGATGGCTTAGCTTCTTTCTTTCACTAACTGTCTGTTTGTGTTGCAGGAGTCTGTGTTACGTAGGAGTCCCGACATAGTCATTGCCACCCCTGGTAGACTCATTGATCACCTTAAAAACACACCTTCTTTCTCTTTGGACTCAGTGGAAATTCTGATTCTGGATGAGGCAGACAGGTAAGACACCATGTTATCCTGTGTTTTGCTTGTTTTAGGTTACATTTAAACTGAAATTAAATCTTATCTTAAACCCAATTATCTTATCACACCATTTTATGATTATTAATTAATTATATTTTCCCATCAACTATCATAAAATCATTACGTCAAAAACTTTGGAGGAAAATAGAATTTTAACAATTTTAGCACTCTGTGTGAGTAAATCATTCAACTGTGTCCTATAACAAAATACCCCCGCCGCAGCAAACCTGACGCCTAAGCGAATTTCCATTTGGCTGAATTGATTTTCAATTGATCTATTTAAATAACATTAGGTTTAACGAGTACCTAGGTTTGCTGCTACAAGGAAACTAATAAAGTGTGTGTTTTAAGTAAAATAATTATTGCTTAGTATAAAATGAATATATTTGCCAAGTTTGATCAAAAGATATCCATAAACAAGCAAACAACAACATTTTACAATATTCTCCATAAGAATAACATGGGAATTTTAAATTTACCATTTTTTTAGTTTTCTCCGTAACCAATAACCGTACAAAAACACTTTGATATACTGAATTGTTTGTTTTTTTAAGCTCTTTAAGAAGGTTTAGAGAAAAATTGGGAAATTTTGTGTTTTAAGGGTCAAAAGTGAGAAAAACCAATTTTTACCCCATAAAACCCCCCATAAAACCCTGTTCCCATGGTCCGATCATGCTGGATCGCGAACTCATTCAAGTTTATCCCGCCTTACACCTTCGAACCAAATTTCATCAAAATCGGATAAAAATTACTCAAGTTATCGTGTTCACGGACACACACACACACACATATATATATATATATATATAAAAATTTGAACGAGTGGTGTTTTTGGCCTCTGGGGACATCAAAATGAAAAAGTAAATCGGTCCCGGGCCTAAGTCTTACCATGAGACCTACGGTAATAGCTACTTCCCTATAGGGAAATTCGCTAAAACAAAAAAATAGAGCTGATCCATGTAAAAAGTCCACGTCCATGTCTACTTCACCATCCATAAGTAAATTAATTATGTTAACCTATAACCTATTGGTTGCAGAATGCTGGATGAATACTTCCAAGAACAGATGACAGAGATCATCAAGCAGTGTGCCAGGTCACGTCAGACGTTGCTGTTCTCCGCCACCATGACTGACGCTGTAAATGATCTGGCAACCGTATCTCTCAACAAACCTGTCAAAGTGTTTGTCGATAATAACCAAGATGTTGCGTTCAACTTGCGTCAAGAGTTTGTGAAGTTAGTGTTTCAAAATTGTAAATACATACAATTTGTAAATTTTTGTCTCCATGAGTTATACAATTACTAAAACAAAGGATATATATATATATATATACCTTTTGCTAATTGTCAATTTACTATCTATTTCTAGTAATATAAGAGCATCATCATGATCTTGAATTTAAGGGAAAATCTCATTTAAGTCTTGTACTAGTATTGTAACTAGACATCAAGTTAAATTTACGTATTTTAATGTTTCGGTGTTGCAAATTTAGTCGTGAGGTAAAAAAGCTTAGAAACGTATTGAAGTTTAATATTTGGTATTTTTAATGATAATCCAGTATTTCTCAAATTCAACACATTTATAATCTACATTATGTTTGTAAAAATCTACTCTGTTGATTTTATAGTTGCATTACATTGTATTGTCAACTGAGGAGAAATTAAATTATTTTACAGATATGTTTTGATCAAGCAAAGTGTAGAAACTCTGTTGTTATTTTTAATTTTGTCTTAGCAACATTACTTTATTGTAAGACTAGATTACTTACGTCAATAGCTCATTGAATCTCATTGAGATATTGACGTAAGTAATCTAGTCTTACAATAATATCTACAGCTCAGGGGCTTAACAATGAATTTAAACATAACTTTGGTCGAATACTCTTCAAACAAGGTCCAGCCTACCAGGCAAGACAACCAATAACATGTGTATTGTTACACAGGATCCGCAAGGAGAAGGAGGCAGACAGAGAAGCGTTGTTGGCAGCATTGGTGTGTCGAACATTCCACAACCATACGATGGTGTTTGTCACCACCAAGAAACAAGCACACAGAATACACATCCTTCTCGGCCTGCTGGGCGTCAAGGTGAGTGAACACATCGCCTGACGTTTGGTCAGTATCCTTTAAATTAATTGAAAATGTAATTACATCATAGTTTTTCATATCAAAATCAAACTATTTCTAATACAACAATCCGATGATTTATGCCAATTATTTGAGTATATGAATATGGAAAACACCTCTTCCAAAACTTGGTGGGTCGTTCGGTCAAGACAGACTGTACGACTATGAGTGAAGTACTGACTGAACCGATAGTTGAACAAAAGTAAGTATTCGTGTTGTGATTACATTCAAAACTCTGTCCACTCCAAAACAGAAGCAAAAGAAACCTAGCATGAACGTTAATTCATACTAAAAATCTATTTAACTGGTAAAGTCATATCTCAAGATTTGTAAAAGTAATGTTAAGTCTTATGTACAAATTGAATTAGAGAATTCTAAGTAAAAGATAATTTGACTTGTACATGTTTAGTGCCAAAATACCTATAAGAATCACTTAACAAAGTGTATTTTTAGTTAGGCTACCGGTATTTAAAATATAATTTTATAATTTTTAAATTGATTATCAGAATCCGACTGAACGATCCAATGTTCTGTGATCCGAACTAACCAGGTCGACCAACTAACTAAATGATTGATACAACTAATACTGATATAACTCACTTACCGGGTCAGTTGAACAAGTCATTTTGAACGAATCGCGATAGAGTCTGAGACCGACTGAACCAGATCTGTAAGGTGATCAGAACTTCCCATCACTACTGTAAACCTACAAGACTGTAAATAATAGACATATCTAAAAGGTGTTACAGTTGTGATAGATATTGAACAGTCATCATCAGGACCAAACTTAGCCTGAGAGAATAAAAATAATGGTACACAACAACTAGTAATAATGGTAATAACAGGAACATATATAACCTATTTCACTTACCTTTTCAACAGCAGAAAAAAATATTGCTAAATTTGGTCCTTTGAATTTCCCAGATAAATGAAATATTTCATAGAATGATGTGTTGAAAATCTGTTAGCTACAAACGTTTTCTTGTAGGTGGGAGAGCTCCACGGGAATCTGACTCAGCCGCAGAGATTGGAGGCTCTACGCAGGTTTAAGGATGAGGAGGTGGATATCCTAGTGGCGACAGACGTAGCAGCTCGTGGTCTGGACATCCGAGGAGTCAAAACTGTCAGTAGCTGTTATTTAACTAATACTATTAGCAGTTACATTAAATTAGAAAAAAAGAAATCATTACTCTATTTAATCACTTCACCAGACTAAAATAAGTTTATTTTGTTTTTATAATTGAAACTCAATATGACTGCAAGCTGAGCTTGACTGGGATACTGAAGTAGACATCCTGTCTAAATAGAGCTGTTATAGCCATCTTTTTTATTCATCCAGAATTTAGTGGTATGAGCCACTCTTAGAATAAGCCATTTCCAAGATTCAATTTCCTCTCTAGGTCTTTAATACTGAGAAGTATCATCCTGCATTTAGACCTGAACCTCAACAAACAAAGTGAAAGCTCAACTCCGACTCCAAACTGTTCAATATAGTCCCTCTAATCTTATCTTGCAAGGGCAGGCAAAAACCATAAAGCACTTCATGATTTTAGTGGTCTGTGTTGTTATATTAACCAGGTGGTGTTCGCAGAGTCACCGCTCATAAAAATGAGCGGAGTTATCAGGGCATTATTTTTTCATTGGAAAGTTTTAGGATTAACAATTCAAAAATGTTCTTAATTTTTTGTGTTATATGCGTTTGTTTTATGTACGTCAAAGGTAAAACAAATAGGTACAAATTCAATACCCCAACAACAACTGATAGCTCCAAACTTGAACAAATCAATTGGTCTGTATCACAGGTAATAAACTTCATGCTGCCGTCCACTTTGGAGCACTACATTCATCGTGTTGGACGGACAGCTCGTGCAGGCCGTGCGGGAGTCTCTGTCAGCCTGGCCGGCGAGAACGAGCGCAAACTCGTCAAACAAATTGTCAAACGAGCTCGGCACCCTGTCAAGAGCCGAGTCATACCATCAGGTATTATGTGTCCAATCTTTCTTATTTTAAATCAAGGATATTAAATATAATATAAAAGGATATATTATAAATAGCTTTGCAAGGCTTACTTTACAATGTATTTAATCTTAAAACAAACTAATAATTAAATTTGAAGACCACAATAGTTTTGTATAAAATATGGCTCAGTAAGAAATACTCATTGCAGTCCAAGTAGTAAATTTTGATCCTAAAAGTTTTTTTCTTAAGGTGATTTGGTTAAAAATGAATGTTGAAGTTTTATTTTCATTGGATTATAAATTAATTTAAAGATTTAGGCTACGATTATACTAGGACGCTAGCGGGGCATTAAATCAAATGGGGGCGATTATACTAGGGATGCCAGCGTCGGATGTCGTATGCTTGATTTTGTGCCTCCCAGCTGGGAGGCTGAAATTCGAGCGTCTGGTGACTTTTTGCCTCCCGGGATGCACAAAATATGTTGTGGGGCATTGGTTCAAATGTGGCGCATTATACTAGGCGGCTAACATCCGAGACGCTCTCTTTCGACATGTACGCGAATATAGGGAATACGCTATTACCATAGGTCGCATGGTAAGACCTCGACCCGGGACCGATCTGCTTTTTTGATTTGATGTCACCAGAGGCCAAAAACACCTTTCGATCATATAGATTTAAATATTATATATATGTCTGTAAATGCGATAACTTGAGTAATTTTTGTCAAAAAATGAAATGTTTTTGATGTAATTTGGCTTAAAGGTTAAGGGCAGGATAAACTTGAATGAGTTCATGAACCAGCACAAGCGGACCTTGGGAACAGGGATTTATGGGGTAAAAAAGGTGTCTTGTCATTTTTGACCCGTAAAACACAAAATTTCCCAATTTCTCTCTAGACAATTTTAATGAGCTTAAAAACAAATAATTTAGTATATTAAAGTGTTTTTGTACGGTTATTAGTTACGGAGGAAATTAAAAAAGTGTAAATTAAAAATTCCCATGTGATTCTTATAGAAAGTATTGTTAACTGTTGGAATTTGCTTGTGTATGGATATATTTTGATCAAACTTAGCCAATTTGTTTTATACTAAGCTATTAATATTTTACTAAAAACACACTTAATTAGCCTCCTTAGAGCAGCAAACCTGGGTACTCCTTAAACCTAATATTATTTAAATAGATTTTAACAAAAAGTGACAAAACATTGAAATAAAATGGCAGTCCGAGAGGCTAACATCCCAACACAAATCACGTCATTTTCGGCTCGAAGTGGGACGCTGGCCTCTCGGACGCCAGCGTCCTAGTATAATCGTAGCCTTAAATGTTTTGTTGGAAATGAGTCTGACAAAATATGGGGCATACAAGGCTTTGGAGTGGTTATTTTGTCAAATGTCGGTACAAACCTAAGGACAAGACTAGGCCTGAAAAAAGTGAAAATTTGCAATTATGTCTTTGTCTTATAAATTCTCAAGAAGATCATTTTAATTTCATCTTGCATCTTTTCATCCTTTCACTTGCAGAACTACTGAGCTCATCACCAGAGTTCCCTTGTGCCCCAACAGCCTTAAGTTTATAATGTAAACATAAATTACTGTACCACCATAGTTTTTTGTTGTTTAATGATTATTGATTCACTTTTAATAGCTCCGGTTGTCTTATCATTTGCTACCTTTTCATGAAAATGATTGGTGGCATAATTAAAAGTAAACTGTATGACAGAATTAAAACTAATTACAGTGGCATACAAATTTACAATGTAATGGAAGTAAATTGGTTCAAAGATTTTACCACAGCCATTTAATAAATTTAACCGATTAATAACGTATTAAATAACTAACAATAGTTTTGTTTAACTACAAGAGTCAATAACTCAGTCATTCAAAGCACTCTGTTGTAAAATCCATTATTCGCCCACTCCTAAACTTTTATTCACAGTACGTTTCATGCTCACTTGTTTGTGGATCTTGATTACTCCAAATTATTACAGAGATTGTGGACAAATACCGCAAGAAGGTGAGCAAACTTGAGGATGAGATCAACAAGATCCTCCACGAGGAGTGGGAGGAGCGAGTTATGCAGAGAACCGAGAACCAAGCAAACCGAGCAGAGAAGATCCTGCAGGGAGGGGGAACAGCGGCAGACATGCCTCGGACATGGTTCCAGACACACAAGCAGCGGGAGGAGGAGAAAGGTGAATACAGTAACATTGAATTTGGATCCTCAGCTAAAAATCATTAGTGATCTGCAGAATGTAAACCCACACCTCCAAGATAAAAGTGTTCCATTCCTTACTAGCCACACTCCAGTTCTTGAAACAACATCTTTTTTAAAGACTCTTAATATTACTGTGGTTAATAGTTATTAGTTTCTTTTGTATATGAAATACAGTTGACTTATATTTGGATAAAATAAATATTTGGATAAAATAAAAATTTAATAAAAATTGTTTTCAAATATATGAAATTAGTGTCAAGTTATCTAGATGACATCAGATCACTGATGTGTTGTTAAAAAAAACAATTTTGAACCGGGAAACTTTTTAACTTGTTCTATTTCAGAGAGGTTAAGGCTGACTGAAGGGAAGAAAGAACCAGGGAAAAAACAAAAAGATACCAAGTCAGATAAAAATGAGGAGAAAGCGCCAAATGAAGTGCCAGAGGGTCCTCGGGAGAGAAAGAAGAAGAAGAAGCATGTGGATACACCGGAAGAGCGAGTTAACAAAGAGATGGAGAAGGTCATGTTACTCCAAGCTCGACTCGCCAAACAGAAACGGAAAACTAAGAAACTACGAGCTGTTGTGGATTCTACATACAGCGGACCACAGGGTGAGTGGTTTAAACTAACACCTTATGTAATAGGAGGGTCAAATATTGTGAACAGGAAGTGTTTGGTAATGTTGTGTTAGTAAGCTGGTAGTGTTGTTAAACAATAACTTGTGCTGACCTACAGAAGGATGTTGCTTTAAGTAGACCAGTGCTCTTGAACAAGGGGCGTTTAGTGGAGAGGTTGTGTGGTGCACCAGAGGACAGGGTCCTTCTGCTAGGGGAGCTGGAGTTGGCCTTGGGTCCATGTATGACAATAGTAAGGGTTTTCAAAATTGGGGTTTAGAGTCTTTTCCAAATTGGGGTTTCAGTTTCTAACTAAATGATTTATACAGTTCCAGTCTACTCTACCTTTTAGTTTGATTTCTTATTAGTGATGGTCGGATCCGAATATCGGACTACCGGATCTACCGAAAGTGTAGCTAAACTATTATGGTAAGTACCTGTTAGAGAAGCTGTTCAAAGTGACCACCTCCATTGTCTATACACATGTAGCACCTATTCAACACTGATTTGTAAATTCTTTTACATAGTTGTGGTATGAATAGAAAATCAAAATGTTCCGTTATCAATGCTTTTAAATGTTCTAAACTTTGAGGTTTCTCCAAAAACACGTTTAAGAGGTTGTGTTCCAGGAAACTGTTGTTTGTATGCAGCGAACACGGAATAAAATATGCTGCAATAACATCCGTATAATCATGATCAAATTTCCACAATTTTTTCAAAAGAAATACTCGATCTATAGAGATCTATAGAAATACTCGATCTATATCTTGTGCTCTATGCTACACCCTCGATCTATAGATAGTTTGCGATTTATAATTACAAACACTGATGTATAGAAGAACAAGCACTACACTCACGAACTTCACTTCACGGACACTGGTGGAATACTGACAAAACAAAAAAATCCTTGATAAAGAATAAACTAAGGCAAAATAAAACATTATTTGACATTAGACTAGATAAGGAGTGAAAGTAAGAGATAAAAATTGCGCGAGAGATAAACAATGACGCTCACCGGTCTGCAGCGGTACGCTGACTTTTGCCGCACCCAGTGATCATCTAGATTGATTTTATGTCAAATCGTTTTAACTTTATTAGCCTTATAATCCTTTTTATTTTAGCTTATCATATCAACTTTTCAGTTTTATACAGTTCTTCAAATTTTAAATGCCGTCCTTTATTTGTAGGTGCCAAAAAACGTAAGCAGTCATCCTTTGAACATGACCTCACAGACACCAGCAAGAATAAAGTCAAGAGGCTGCGATATGAGTAAGTTGAAACCAAATTGTTAAGAATTGTTGCCCAAATGTAGTTTTGACATTACAGTAGTGCCTCTGATATGATATTAATTGTTACTAGCAGAAGTAGAAGCATTAAATCCTCCCCTGAACGGTGGAAGAATAGATAATTAAAATTTGTGTGGATTTCATATACAGGAAGAATCAATAACTCAACAAACTCATCTAAGAAGACATCCAAGCAGTTTGATAGCACCCAAAATATCCAAAACAAACTTTAATAAGATGTGCTCTTTTGGTATTGTGTTAACTGCATGGAACTTTCTGAAAGATTTTCTGATTTCTGAGATTTCTGAACTCTTTTATGCCAAGTGATTTTCCTAAAAAAATACTAGGCCTAACCTTGGATTTAATCAGGAATCTTACCTGAGACTTTGGGGCAGTGTCCATTCTCGATACCACCAATTCTTGGACATAGGTATTGGTTTAGGGAATAGATCGTTATAAGTCGATACCAATACTCGACATGCCTGAGAAGATTATGCGATTGCAAAATTCACCATTTTGCAGGAATGATGATGATGACATATCCGAGACTGTGGGAGACGGTGATGATGTTTACACGACAGCAGGAGATGTTCATGGTTTGCCACGATCGTGGGTGACAATAATGATGTTTCCGTTAGGACTAAATAATTCTGTAATTTTGCCATGCAGTTTCACCTCTTAATCGTCCCATATTACTTGGATATAGCTCCAATATATAGCTTGGATAGTTTTAGTACAACTGCGTTTTTAACACGTTCGCTACTGCAATGCAATAGTACGAAATTTTTCATTCACGTGGACCATAGACTGCCGTCGCATATATGCGTCTTTGTAACGGTCTATTTGAAGGCACTGAATTCCCTGCAGTGGTCTACAGAGATGTCTGACGCACAACTGTGTTGCTTGGTCTGTGGATATGATGATTGGTGACGTCATATGATAGTTGGAAAAACTGGTCTTTACTTTTCTGCATCACTGTATGTACGTATGCAGTATGTATGCTGAATTATCCTATGTAGCTTTTATATTTGTTCAGTTATAAACTGTTCTTGATCAATCTGTTTTTTATTTTACTTAAAAACTTTCACCTCAAAACACAAAAAAATGAACTGTCGCATATGCGACGTTTGGTCTATTTCAAGAAAACTATGATAATTTTCACTATCTTCTTTGCTGTAGACCGGGCGTCGCAAATATGCGACATTACAAAAGGTTAAAAAAACAATTACAAATAAAAAAAAAAAAAACAAGAATATATTATTTACAAACACGATTGTAGAGTATTACAATGTAAATGATCACTGTTTTACAGGTTTTCGCCCGTGGTCTGTGTGTACTGTTATCCAAGTGACAGCCGGTCTGTGTGTAAGATTCAAATTTATACTTCTGTCTGTGGCAATGATCGCGGCGTCGCATATATGCGACGCTCAGTAGCGAACGTGTTAAACTTTACAATATTATAAAATACCCCCGCCGCAGCAAACCTGCAGACTAAGCGAATTTCCATTTGACTGATTGGATTTACACTGAAATGTCTACTTAAAAATATAACATTTATTCTTGATTTAAATAGAATTAGTTTAACAAGTACTTAGGTTTGCTGCATCAAGGAGGGTAAAACTTTTTTTTTGTAAAATGTGAATAGGTAGTGAGAAATAAAAACATTTTCCAAATTTGATCAAAATATGTTCACAAACAAGCAAACTACAACAGTTTACTTATTCTCCATAAGAATAACATGGGAGTTTTAAATTTACAATTTTTTGGAATTTTCTCCGTAACTATTAGGCGCATAATAACGCTTCAATATACTAAATTATTTGTTTTTTTAAGCTCTACAAAATGGTTTGGAAAGAAATTGCTAAATTTTATGTTTTTTGGGTCAAAAATTGGAAAAACCTATTTTTACCCCATAAAACCCCCCGTAAACCCCCGTTCCCATGGTCCGATCATGCTGGATCTCGAACTCGTTTGAATAAACATACGTTTACACGTTTGTACCAAATTTCATCCAAATCGGATCATTTTTGCTCGAGTTATCGTGCTGACGGACACATATATATATAAATATGTAAATATATAAATATATATATATATGAATTTGAACGGATGGTGTTTTTGGCCTCTAGGGACCTCAAAACGAAAAAAAAAATCGGTCCCGCGTCCAGGTCTTACCATGAGTACTACGGTAATAGCTTATTCCCTATATGGGAAATTCGCTAAAAACTAAATTCAAAACATTCAATATTTTATTGAACCTACTGATTTGTATCCTTGTTTTTTTCAGGGCAAATTCACACAGTAAACAAGAAAAGTTTGGCAAGAAAAACCAGAAGTTTCAGAAGGGAAAAGGATTTTCAAATAAAACAACGTTTAAAAAGAAAAAGTGACTGTAAATATGTTTTGAAAATAAAAACTATTCTTGTTAAGGCATGTTTACTAATAAAATTCATTTAAAACCATGAAGCGTCTGACAATTTCTTTGCTATACCAAAAAATAAAAATTAAAACCTTTCATAGGTGTGACAGTGAAAAATAATGTATTAAAATATTTTTTATTATTATTAATTTTTTTTTTTTTTTTTTTTTATTTATTTATTTATTTGGAAAATCTCAAAAATATTACAACATTTCATAAACAAAGCTTGCTGCAAAAGCCAGGAAAAATTGGCTTGTCTGCAGCTTATAGAGATAAACTTGTTCTAGATAACAATGTACTTTGTCCCTTGGTCAGTCTTCTCCATATTACACTCTGGTTTTCCTTGTTTCTTGTCAAGATCTGCTATTTGTTGTTTTGACTTATTCTCTACCTTTCTATATAAGACTAGCTTGCTTTAAAAACAACTTGAAACAATTATCTTAAATAAATAAAATATATAACAATAAATAACATGCATTAAATACTTCTCATCTTTAACAATAATATAATGAAATATTTTTTTAACAATACAACAATACATAACTAAATAAATAATTAAATAATTTATAATAACAACAATATTAAACCAGTTTTAATGGATTCCTTGAGATGACAATACTAAAATAAATAACGTGCATTAAATGATTTTAACTTTAACAATAATATAAAAAGAAAGTAATGTAATAAACAATGTTTAAATGAATTTATTGAGATAACAATGCTTAAGCTTAGATTTCAAGACTCTAAAACTAGTTATATTTTCTATTTCAGTTGGCAATCTATTAAAAAACGTTGGAACTAGAAATTTTCTAACTCTTTTTGAAAATTTGTTTGTGGTCTTAGGAACAATATAAAACTGTTTGCGTGAATTGTATCTATGGTCATTTTTTACTTTAAATTCATTTGAGAAATAGTAATCAAGTAAAATTATATACTCAAATAATACATCCACTGGTAATACCTCAACTATCCTATATCCGAGCAGAGGGTTTTCTGACAAAACAGTAGAGTCAAGCTTTGTCATAGTTTTTATGATTCTATTTTGCACAGTTTTTATTTGATTTATGGCTGTGGGTGATGCTGATCCCCATGATCTTAAGCCATATCTAATCACTGACTCACATATGCCTGAATATATGATTTTCATTGTTGTAAAAGGTAAAAAATCTTTTAAATAGAAAAATTTTGCTGCACAAACTCGTAGCCTGTTTGTTACTGTCTTAATTTGTAAATCCCATTTCATATTGTGGTCAATTGTTATACCTAAATATTTGTAATTCACTACATTCTGTAATGGTAGGCACCCACATGCAGCATTTTCAAATTGTTTATTGTGTAAGCAGTCATGACAATGGAATTTCACATTTATTTCTGAGCATTTGTATGACGGTGAATGTATGTGCATCAACTTTGATTTATCTCCATTTATAGCTAGACCATTGTCGTGGCACCACATGGTTAAACTTAAGAAATCTATTTGCATTTTTTCGGTAGCTTCCTGAATGTTTTTGTGGGATAATACAAGCGCAGTGTCATCTGCATACATATATATTCTACTAAATTGTAATATTTCAGGAAGTGAATTAACATACAACAAGTATATCAATGGCCCTAATATACTACCTTGGGGTACCCCATACCTTAAGATTTTTTCCTCTCCATATGTACTCTTAATTCTAACCTTACATTTTCTATCCATTAAATAACTTAAAAACCAGTCTTTAATTTGCCCTCTTACTCCTGATGTGTCCAGAGCCATTGCAATTGTCTCATGCTTTAAAGTATCAAATGCCTTACTAAAGTCTATAAATATTACTAAAACCTGTTTTCCTTCACTAAGCTGTTCATTTATATAATCTGTAAAATCTAAAAGTAGCTCGTTTGTTCCTTTCTTCCTCTGATATGCATATTGCTGTTTGCTAATAATACTATTCCTTTCTAAATGGTCAATCAAATTATTTGCAATATATCGCTCCATTAACTTACTAATAGCTGGTAAAATAGATATTGGACGATAATTCAAATAGCTCTCATGACTTCCTGCTTTATAAATTGGTCTAATTACTGCAGTTTTTAACAGTTCTGGAACGCAAGATTTTTTAATTGAAGTATTTATCAGTCTTATTATGGGTTCAGACAGTAAATCAGAATTGTTTTTTATGTCCTGCATGCGTATATTATCTAAACCAGGTCCCTTTTTCTTCATAGATTGTACTAATATATTAAAATTTTCCTTATCCAGGTCTGGTATGGTTAGAGTCTCCTTACATTTATTTTGCTCCTTATATTGTGACACAATTATCTGACAGTCATGTAAAGATGCATATACACATTCTGTGAATTGTTCTCCAAAGGAATTGCACACTGTTTCTATTTTGTTGTTCTTATCCAATAAATATTTCTCTACGACCTCATCTATATTTTTTGTTTTATTTTTTCCCAAAATTGTATTTATATTATTCCAAGTCACTTTCATATCGTTTCTACTTCTTTGGAACAAACAATAGTAATAATTTCTTTTAGCTTTATTAATTTCTGCAACTACCTGGTTTCTAGCAATTTTATAATCAACTCTATGTTTAGTTATACTTGGGTAGGCTTTATGTGTTCTGAAAAGTTTGTCTCTTTTTTTAATCATGTTAACTATTTTTAAACTCATCCATGGCTTCTTTGTTTGCTTTTGTCTTTTTATTTTACAAACTGAACTAATTTCATAGGCTTCTTTGAAATTTAATAATATACGGTTGTAAATATCATTTGGATTATTTAAAGTATTAATTGACTGCCATTCCATTTGTCCTAGTGCCTGTTTTAGTAAAGCTATATCAATATTTGCTGATTTATTTTTCCTCTGAGTGGCTGGACAGTATTGGTCAGTCTGAACGTTGATCACACAGGTGTAGTGGTCTGATATCTTTACCTGTATGATATCTGAGCTGACCTTTGTTCTCTTAGCTCTAAGGAACGCATGGTCTATACATGTCTGGGTCAATTTATTTGCTCTTACTTCCTCTCTGGTAAAATCATTAATATAAGAAATCAGCCCATGTCCTGCCATAATTGATTTATAATCCTCAACACTTTTTTTATAATAATCCTTTAAGTCCAAGTTCATATCTCCAATCACCAATAGATCGCCTTTAATATCTGTTATTATTTTTTCCATTTCAGCTATAAATCTATATTCATCACCTGATGGCTGTCTGTATGTGGCTACAATATTTATCACATAGTTATTTTTTGTGACCTTAATGACTTTGCTTTCAAAACTACTACTGTTTACATCCAACCCCTGTACTAAAATGTTTTCTTTAATAAAAATTACAATACCTCCACCTTTTTTTTCTTGTCTTAAATTGTGCACTATGTTATATCCCTTAATATTAAAAAAATTCAAAATTTCAGACAGAGTTTCTTTTACATTAACTTCAGTAAATATAATTATGTCCACAAAAGTAAAACATTCATAAAAATAAACCAAAAACTGATCCCAATTTTTTCTTATTGACCTAATGTTAAGATGCAAAACTGTTATACCTGACTCATACTGTCCTTCAAAACATGAGTTTTTAAATTCTTGTGTATTCAAAAAAACTTGTGCCCTATATTGATCACTATCAAAAATTTCCATATTGTTTATCAATCAGGTCTAAGAACTAATAATGTGTCAGGTACAACAAATTTTACTTTATTTTACTTAATTGAGACATATCTTCTATAACTAAAACTTTACTTTTTTCACTCTTTCTCACTCTAACTGCTCCATATTTATACCAGATAAACTTGTATCCTAGTTCTTTTCCCTTCTTCTTTGCTTCCCGTAGTAAGTTTCTGTAGTAAGGTGATAGATTTTCACTTACGTATATCCTGCCGCCATCGAGCCCCGTCACCTGGTTGTTGGTCACCACCTTATCCCTCTCTGCCAGGATCTCTTCCCTCTTTTTCCTCCTCACCATCTGTACAATTATGGTTGCTGGTCGGTCGTCCCGGCGAGTCTTTGGTAGTCGGTGAGCCATCTCTATGTCGTCTTTCGTCATCACTACACCCATCTTGTTTACTACATCCACCACTATTTGTTCAACATCTTCCAATTCTTGCTCAGCAACTTCATTGATTTCAATGTTTCTATTTCTTCCATATTGTTCCAGCTGGTTAAGTCTTGATTCCAATGCACATATCTGGTCATCTTTCTTCTGTATGGTAGCTTTTAACTGCTGAATCTCCCTCTCTAGGACTGGTAGAGTCTCTAATTTTCTGCAAATGTCGTCATATTGATTTCCTATATACTCCTGACTTTTAACCATTTCATCGTTTTTATTTTTTATTTGTTTGATATCTTCTTTAATTTCGCTCAAGCACTCTAACTTCATAGAAACTTCTTCTAAAAAAGACTTAATGCGTTCCGTCTCCTCCTCATTTTCCTCTGTTCTTCGTCCGCTTTTTTTAACTGATTTACATTTTCCACAGACCCATTCTGCCTTGTGTGTTTTCGTAAGTTTTTTAAACATTGCATGACTAAAGCCAGCACATCTGTAATGATACTCTAACTTACAATTATCGTTTGAACAAACAATTAATTCAGACTTCTCTAAAATAACCTCCTTACAATGATCACAACTCATCTTGCATTAACTTGACAAATCAGCAAACAAGGAAAACTGGACACAAAACTCACAGAGACAAGGAAAACACAACCTTCCTCTATCACTACCACTGACTGACAGGTAATGATTTTCCTATAATTTTTTAAAGTACTCACATGAAATCCTGTGCTTGGAAAGCCTCATGCAAGAACTATCATGCTCGTAATGTAATCACCAACTTCCTGTCTTGTAGCAAAATAAAGTTGAATAGTTATAAGATGGAGGTTTTTGTACACAAGTTTGTAAAGATGTGACAGAGTGTATAAGGGTGTTGTGACATCTAGACAGATATGTTACAGCCAGTATGCAGTAATATAATGAAAAGAAATCTTAAGTAGCCCTTTTGTATTTCTCACTCAGGTGGTGAAAAGAAAGCTCCATTATGAGGATACATAACTTACTCTTACTCCCAAGTCCCATGGCCATTTGTACCTCAAGTGGTACTTGGCCTCACCAACACACTGCCTCCGTGTCGCCCTGTCTCTTGCGGTATCTTCAATGACTTCCATCCTGGCCATATCTTTCTTCACTTTAGGCTTCTGTGGAGTCAATCTCCACAACACAACAGTATTCAAATGTCCCGCCTAATCTCAACCCCAGAGCATGCGCTGGGAGCAGGCGAGTAAAGGGAGTGTAGGAACTGGTTGTCGTGTGTCTGCTGTCGCCGAGGAAAGATGCAGGAATAAATTGCTGGGTACATTCCAGGTTCCCATTCTCAAGTACTTCTGACATAGGCGGGTCTTGTTCCGATTAGTTCCATCCTGATCCGAGGCTGTATGTTGGTGATTCGTAACAGAATTTTTTTACGAGGTGGGTTGTCGGCCCAACGCTCAACCCCCAACCTGGAGGACCAGGGTATCCCTTCTTGTCTGACTCCTACCTCACGAAGACCTGTCCGGCCAGGGAGGCCCTATCAGTAGCTACGCTACCGCCGACATAGCTCTCGAGGTTGTCAGAGCGTGCAAGCCCCACCGCCTCTTCAAGGCAAGGATACCATCGGGGTGATGAGGATACATAAGCAGTTAATAAATTAATTAAATGGCAGTTGAAATTTATTATTACGTTATGGGGATGTTGCTTTAAGGACATTAAATTTAAACTATCAATGGCCAAACAAACTAGTGATGTGTCAAAACCGAATCTCAAATTACAAAACCATCAAAACTTTGAAAAAGTCTTAGTTTCAAGATTCGATCACCGAGTTTTGAGATTCAAAAGTTTCAAAAATTTTGGCAGTTTTATTTTTGAAACTGTTGACATTTTTTGTGTCATTATTATTGTTAATAACATTGTTTCCACACAAGCTTGTAGCAACAGAGCAAACACATCAACATCATCAGCAATAAAACAAGTAAACTGTATTCTGAACATCAAAAGGCATCTATACTACAACTGGAACGACGATTCAGTTTTATATCAATATTTCATAACACAAAGAAATATTGACTACTAAATGTTCTAATTAATCTAATATTCATGTATATGTTGGTATTAGGAGTTTAATTTATTTTAATGTTGGTTGTTTATAAAAAAATATGTTGTATTCGGGTTTAAGATTATCAGACACATATTTATGTTATGTCAGTGTCATAAGTCTATCTCTTTCACTTTTGATTGCATACTTAACATTTTATTATTTCCTGTATTTTTTGTATAACCAGCTAGGTAAAAAAGTTTTGCATTTAGGTTTTGAGATTCGGGATTCAATTTTTAAAAGTTTCGGTTTCGGTTTTGAGTTTTTCCATAACAATAAAATAAACTTCAGTCACTTATCATAAATATTTATTTGTCATTACACATACCAACAGTCTTAGTCTTTTAATATTTTTGTCAATATATTAAGATAAAGAAATAAAAGACATAACTAATATAAAACAAATCAACTATAATATATTTTCTATAATAACAAATTGTTTGCAATATCACCATTATTACATTTTTACATAAATACATGAGAGGAATGCATCTGAAGCTGTCGTTAAATCTTGACGTTACGTAGTAGCGAACAGGTACAACAAGGATTTGACAAACTGGAATATTTCTGAACCTCCAAGTTTAGATTCTCCATACACTCTGTCGACGAACGTGATTGGTACCTGGAAATAAGCAATGGTTGACACAACTACTACAAATATTTTGTTCTTACTTTTTATAAACTTGACAAATTTCTAGTCTAGTACAATCCCACAAACTCGGTCTAATGTAGATCAGAGGAATGCCAAGTTTGAAATTTACCTGGTTATTAAGTAAAAGCAAAATAATCAAAATTGAGACATTATGTAATACTTTTTGTTTGATTTCTTAAGGGTAATACATTCATAACATCTAACTTGTTGTGAAAGTTTTTTTTTTAAAGTTCATGGTCATGACGCTGATCAGATTGTACTGATGTGCTGACTACCTAAAACTGGTTGTCATACATGTGTGGTCCTTATGAAAAAATCCCGATTTTTATGTTCGTAAGTGCCAATACCATCCACATAAAAAAAAAAAAAAAAAAAACATAACTAGGTACTGAGATCGTGATTTTGACCAAAAAGCGATTGGCACCATCTTACCGTTGAGGGTGGGGGACTTTGAAGTCCAACTGTTGGTACCCCCAAGTACCTTGGCTTATGGTGGACAGGCAGTAGGCTTAGCCAGCACATGTTGGCAGGGCCGAACTTACCTTGGGGCGAGCGCCCGGGGCCCCATCTTAATAAGTTCAAAAATTAATTAGGCGCTTAACGAATAGCCTCTCTCGTGTTGCGTAGTTGAAAATTATGATCGTGGGAAACTAATACGAATACCGGAAATTGCCGCGATCGCAGGAAATCATCACGAATTTTGCCGGGATTGAAATATGATCCCAGATAATGGTCAGGAGTTGGGACAAATTGTCACGATTATTGAGATAATGGTGGATATTGCCGTGATCACGGGGTATCATCACAAACTACGTCGAGATCCCAAAAACTAGTCACAGCAGGGTGTCTACCTGTCACGGATGTCACCGAAGTCCCCGAAAAGTCACCGATTTTAGTAATGTGTCACTGATGTCCCCTATTGTCACGGAATTTGCTTAAATTGTCACCTAAATTTTTGTAGACCTACAGATTTTTATTTATTTTTGGGACAACACTAAATCTTTAGACGAAACTTGTCATGTTTCAATAATATTATACTATCACGTACAACAGTTAATCTAGTCTAGATTTAGACTAGATGATTCCAAATAAAATGATGGTGATGCAAACTGCGAAGTTAATACCATGTTATCATCCAATAACTAGTCAGTTTAGTACTGTAGCTAGTCAGGCAAACGGCCAAAATCTTGCCGACACAAAACTATTGTGCCAGTTCCAGTATCAAGACAAATTTTGCAATGTCTCTTATGGAGTCAGGCAACCGGCCTGTGTTTTGTCCGCACGAAAATACCGTACAATAGGCTAATGGTATTACCGTAGCTTACCAGTCTCGGATAGAGTCAGGCAACTAACTTAGCCTGTGTCTCACCGGCACGAAAATATCGTGCAAATAATGCTAACTTGCTACCGTAGCCGTAAGGTTGAGGTCAATTCCATGTACGTAAACTAGTTAAAATACCTCCAATAAAAAGACTGTTCAGACATTTAAAAAAAATAAAAAATATATAAAAGAACACTTACATCTGTGCATTAGTTTTACACGTTCAATGCGCTACGAGATCCCGAGGTCTCGTATCGTACCTAGCCTGTTGTGCGGGACCCATAATTTGGCTTCTTTCCTTAAGTTACAACATCGATATTTTGGCGTACAGTTATCGTAAAGAAATGAAACTTGTACATATATAATGCATTTTTATTGATCTATCAACTAACTAGTAAACATGAAATGAACACGATAAATAGGTCCTAGATCTCGTAACGCACTGAAGTAATAAACTTTTACTTTATTACGATACGAGACCTCTGGATCTTGTATCAAAAATAATTGTTCCATGCACCGCATGAGGCTAATCGGCTAATGGGGTGATTAGTATAGTAACCATGGCAACTTGTTGAATGCTTGGATGAATGAAGGAAACCGAAGAAATAATTCAAGAGCGAAGAGAAAGAATAATGGCTTTTTTATGTTGATATATTTATGAGCTATCTAATGTTTTATAGGTTAGATAATAATTGTTTTCAACAAAGCGAACATAAATTATTTTTAATTATTGACGTGTTTCCCTTCTGAAACAGCAGTAACGGATGCGTATAATAAAGATCATCGGTCAATGACCTAAAATATCACCATTGTGCAATGTTGTATTTTTATGTAAAAAGCAAATCATGGCATTAATTTGAATATTTATCCTATGGTTCCTACTAAATCAATGATAAATAATTGTCAAACCGAACAAGGAATTTCTGATAAAAAAACTTTGTATCATTGTATTGCGATTGGAATCCCCTTTCCCAGCCCTTTAGGAAAGTGGTGCAAGTCTAAATATAGCTTCAAGGTTATACACCCACCCCTTCCCACCGCCCACTCTACTCACGGTGGCTTGCACTCATTTCGAGGTCATTGCCCAACCCCAGAATTATAACAAAATAAACTAAACACAGTAATTTGTAAACATATTTCATTTGTATTTTATTTAGCCTGAAATCAGCCATAAGGAAATGCATCCTAAAAGATGAGCACTTTATGAGTAGGAGCATAGATAAAATACCCCCGCCGCAGCAAACCTGCAGACTAAGCAAATTTCCATTTACCTGGCTAGATTTCTACTAAAATATTCCCTAGAAATTGTCAGATTTATTTCCTATTAAAAAAACCATTAATTTAGTTAGTATTTAGGTTTGCTGCTACAGGGAAGATATTGAGGTGTGTTTGTTTTATTGCAATGTCGATAGCTTAGTATGAAATAAACCGAATTTCCAAATTTGGTTAAAATATCAATAAGAATAACAAGCAAACTACAACAGTTTATTTATTCTCCTTAAGAATAACATGGGAATTTTAAATTTACAATTTTCGTAATTACATCCGTAACCGTTGGGCATACAACAACGCTTTAATATACAAAATTATTTCTTTTTTTAAGCTCTACAAAATGGTTTGGAGAGGAATTATGAAATTTTGTTTTTTAGGGTCAAAAATGGGGAAAATCAATTTTTACCACATAAAACACTCCACGAACTTGTTTGTATAAACGTAGGTTTACATGTTTGCAAGTATTTAAACCCCTTCTTAATTTTTATATGTGTAGGTACAAATATCAAAATCCACAAGAGAGGTCTCAGAAACCTGTGTAGGCCTTTACACATTTACTATCTTTTAACGTATTTGTTTCCAAGGAAACAAAGGAACTGAAATTTAAGAAAAATATTTGTAAAGGCATAATAAGCAGCCTTCCCTGAGCCGTAAACTAAGACAACACTATGTCCATGAAGTCGTCAGACCGTAAGTACTCTTGAACTCTTGAACTTGTTATTTTTCCCAAAGTCTTAAATGTAACTCATTTGGTAAATGGTAAATAATTTTTGTAAGCCCTTCGATATTTGTAAACTGTTAAGATTTACTGTAAAGGTAATACTTTTCAAGTCAAGTCAAAATTATTTATTCCATAAAATAAAAAACAATATTACAATACATTGTAAGTAAAAGGAATTATTCCCCCGAATAGACTATTGATCCGTGATCGGGGGAAGAGTTAACAATATCATCAGTCTATGGGTATTGTAAAATTGTTCGATTCACTGCACTTTTTTATTTTAAGCACATAAACTAAATAAATCTAAGCTCTAAACTAAATAACTGTATTTTAAATGCTAACAAAATTTTAATTCTAAAATGAGGTGAATTACTTCTTAACATTAAACACAACGTCGCACTACCCTGTACAAGACTCAGCCCATTGTATTTATTCCAACACAATGGGCTGAATCCCATACAGAAACAATATGGATTACAATGTTTTACAAGTAAAATATTAAAAAAAAATATCTATATATATAATTCTGTAAGACTAAATTTTTACCAGAAAATTGTGGACGTCTGGTAAGTCGCAGAAAAGTGGGAGGGGTCTTAAATTAAAGGTCTTGACCCCAGGGACTCGGGAAAAATAGCAGAATTCCCATAAAGTTACCAGAAAACGAGATATAACGTAAAATATCCACCATAAGAAATGCATGGGGAATGAAAAACTTCTGCATTCTATCAGCTGTTACTTATTTACTTGCAATGTTTACATTTATTTCGAAAGTAAATGTTGGTAAATAATGTTTTAAAATGAATTGTGTTGAGTGAAGTAACTAGACAGGGTAGGGGAAGACCTGCAAGACGTGGAAGAGTGTCCAGGAATTCAACAGACTTAAGAAATGCAAAAAGAGAATGTCATGTAGGGCCTAGCTGTAAAAGAAATCCAGAAGCTGTTTTACAACCTGTCTTTAGAAGAACGCTGTAAAATGAGTTGAGTGTTGTTTCTCACAATCTAGGTCCTCTTAAAGCACTTGCATGCGTTGTGGCGCATTTCACTTCGCAGAGGAGGCCACAAATGGACATTTCAACGCATGTTGCCACAATGGACATGCCACAACCACAAGTAAATGACGAACCAAAAGAACTGTTTTTACATGATTCGAGCTTCGTAAAAAAAATAAGGCAATACATCAGTGCAATGGCTTTTGCGTCGCTTTCCGCTACACAAAAAGAGATTCCGGGAAATGGGCCTTACTGTTTTAAAATTCAGGGACAAATTCATGGATATATTTCTGACTTACTACCGCGAAATGGGGAGTTGCCTTCATAATAATTAATAATAATTTTAACCTTTACATTTGGTTCTCAAAATGGAAACTATAACAGAATTCGTAAGATTACAAAACAATCATCAATTTTAAACTAGAAAAGATGTGCAATGTTTGGCTGTATGATTTCAGCTCTGATTCGTCGTTCTCCGGGCTCAGGCCAAACCGTGTGCACGTTTCCATTTATTAATATGTTGCGTTATTGATTTAATCATTATTTTACAATTGTATTTCATTGACACATCAGAAGCAACTAATATACGACTCTAAGGAAAGGAAACCCAAGATATAAAACAAGAAACACAGTTAATTAATTTTAAGTAACATAAAATTTATAATTT